CTGGGCCTTTTCGAAAAACATCACCAATAGTTGCTGCGGATAACGATTTTTGGAGCGTTGGTAAATAATTTGCAGAAAGTGAGAAGCCCAAATATACACCCAACCAACTGGCTGATCCACGCTCCAGATATGAAAATATGGTTACATTGCGAGTGCAAAACTGCGATTGCACCCCCCCCCCTCTCTTCGGCTCCTACTCCTTTTTCTGTGTTTGCACTCCCGGCTGCATCACTCCCCTCCTCCCTCTACACATCCTAGCCGTTTCTTCGAGCATCTCCCTGGTCCCATTCCTCACCCTTGCCTTCTCCTGTAGCCCCCTTTCCTTCTTCTCCTTGTACGCCCTCAGCATTTCCAGATTCCTCTCCCTAGCATCCCGCTTCCTCTAAAGCCTGGCGGCCTTCTTCACCTCCAGGAAGGTGGTCATCTTACCCTTGAAAATAACACTCACTCCATCACTGTGGGGGTCCTTGATGGTGACAAACTTTGACACAGTCTTCCTGGTGCAAACACCAAGCTTTATGTTTCGGTTGGTACGAGCTTTCGCTCCCAGCGCCGTGAGATCACACCACCCGATATTCCTCGCGTCTCTGTACGGCAATTGCCTGAGGCTCTCGGGGACAACACAGTGTTCAAAGGAGCCCGTCGGAGTGCATAAGTCGAGTATAATGTGCTAGTCGCATTTTATATGTGGGAGTATGATGCGTGGGAGGGTCAAACGGGAATTGCTGAGTTTTTACATGGGAAATGGGCTTTGAATTGGCGTATCGGGTACGCTGTGGAAGGGGGCTATGCCAAAATCTTCTATTTTTAGGTTAACCTTGTTCTTCGTGTCAGTACGGTAGTCCATACCACTACGGAACGTGACATTTGAGTGCTCGAGATCTTCATGGCGGGGGTTTTTTTTTGGATGACTCATGTATGAGTCTCTGCAGATAGCCAGGGTACTCATAGTGCTGCGAGAAGCGGTAGTACTCTTTGCGCTTTGCGCTGTCTGTGGGGCCAGAGGTGAACATGGGTCATTGTTCTTGATTTGTACGAGGGGGGTGCGTACAGCGCAGGGTTCCTATTAGATATCGGGGTTAGCGAAGCCACCAGCATTCTTGCTCGCGGGGGGGAATTGAAAAGCCTCGCCAACGTCCTTGATGCAGTCCTCTAGAGCGTGTAAGAGATTCGTCATTTTGGGCTGGTCACCACATACAAGGTTTTTCATTCCTGGAGGATGACAAACACACCTCCGACTATTTCACAACACCCATTGTTTTAGGGATGTTCCACACCGTTAGCTTTATACAAACTCTCATACCAACCCGAGATACCTAATGCGACAGTATCGGATAATAACCTAAGTTACCTGTAATGAAACACCAATACTGATAGCAGTCAATATCATACCCTCGGCAATAGACTATACCCGAGCCTGGCGGCACAACTCTACCCTCGGCCATCATGCTTATAACTTGTGAGTGCCACCACAGGACCAGGAGAAGAACGACTAAGTCCGAGAGAGTAGCAGAGGGATCTCGCATGCACTGGAAGTATTGTCAGGAAGAAGGTTTTCTGCTAAGAAGGATATAAGACTGACTGATTTCTCTGTTATTTGTTTTACCATAGCATTCACTGTCTCTCCACTTCGTCCTCTATTATTTCGTCAAAGTCTTTCGTTACCTTATACGATCCTGTTGTTCTTTCTTGGTCTTTGGTTTCCTTTTCTCTATTATTATCGTTCGTACCAATAAAAGTTCTGCATGGTCCGTGAAACCTGGAAGTTGTATCCGCTGTACAAAACCTGCATGGTTTAAAAGAGCGGGCATAGGCGACAGCCTTGAAGTCCATTGGCATGCCGGTTTCGATAATTGAAAGGACGGTGCCGTTCGGATTGAGGTGCAGCTAGAGTGGTACAATTGTTTGACGGCGGAAAAACCACTTCCCTATTGGGAGGATTCTGTTTGTAGCAAGGATCAGATCATAGGATTCTCTTGGCTAAGTCTTATTCTTCTCCACAGGGCCCGGCGTGTAGTGTAGGTTTTCGAAAAGGATATCCGGCACTCGAGGAATAAACAGAGTATCGTCCAAGAGCTTTGACAACCACTACCCGCAATCCACTCCTCTCCCGCACCACCGGTAGAGCCTCCCTACCCAGGCTAGGTGGCAGCTTCCCTGTTCTCTCCGCATGCTCCCTGCGTTCTGGCTTCAACGATACACTGCCACACAAGTACGCCAGCGCCTCTACTTCCCACATCGAGCATATCCTTAACAACCTGCCCCCACCCACCCCATCCGAGCACCCCAATCGCGGCCCAACCATTTCCGCACCTCAGTCAACAAACTCAGGCACTGCATGTACAGCCCCGGCATCATGGGAGCGAATAACATGTTGCCATCGATACCCAACATTGCAATGTTAGTCGGGTTCAAGGGAGTAGGCAGCTAGTCCGCATTCCCCTTGGTTGAGTAGATGGGCGAGAATTAGAAGTGTGGACCGCCAAATGGCCCATGCATGGTACGATTTATGTTAAAATTCACGAAGGTTCCCAATGGAAATACGTTACCGCGATGATTACTAGGTAGCGGTTTCGGAAACCTAGTTGGAGGTGCATTAGTTTGTTTGGTGATTGTCAGAGATTTGTGAAGGCTGTATTGTTTAGAAGTAAAGTGTAACGGGAGTGTTTGGAGGGTTTCAGCCATGAGGATAGTGAGACGATGGCTTGTATGAGATTAAGGTTTATCGGGGCTGAGACTGGAGGATGTCGCACTATGATGATTAGGAAACACAGAAGAAATTGTATGAGTGTTAGGACTGTCGGAGGTAATGGGTTGGATGGAAGGCAATGGCCTGGACGAGTTGGAACAAGATCAGAAGTGGAGACTGGTAAAAGTCGAGGCTGTGTATATATAGGACACCTCTGGCGACGTAAAAACAATAAGAACCACAATACACTCTCATTCCAACATAGTCTAAATTTCTTAATTTATGGGGAAAATGATTTCTCAAACTTAGGTGCTAGGTATATCATGAATTATGAGGTGAAAGATGAATCACCATTCTCTGCCTTTATATAAATGCTCAACCTACCCGGCCTGGGATGCCCTACTACTGAAATAAAAAGCAAGCAATTCTCAGAAATCCTCATCCTTAGTTTGTTCTGAGAGGCCGGACAGGCAGTGGAGGAAGCTTATGGGACAGGTATTTCATGCTCTAACACAACATATTGACTCGAAAAAACCATGATTCTATCCCTGACACTCCAACTTGTTTGTCCATTTACTACGATGTTTGCCCAATCCAAACTACTCTTACCTCTGCAAAAACTGTACTCTACCAGCGAGAAAAAACAAATAGATCACCACACCAGCTGGGCACTGTGAGCAAAGCATGAGCGTCTTTTCGTTTCTCGTTTCATCATTCCGGCCTTGTGCTGATATAAATGTTACCATTGTAACAAAATAAATTCTGCGCCTGACTTGCCCTGATCGGGCACTGCGTTAATGAAAGTAAGCAATAAAAATCTTCAATATTCGGGTCTGTGACACCTGCTTAGATTTCGTGTACTATACCATCCTTCATACTGTAATACTTAGAATTAGTAGTAGAGTAATATAAATAAAACAGACCCCTGATGACAAACCAGCCACCTAAGGGGCTACTGGGGTGGAAAATTTACCATACCTTCCTACTCAGGAAGCTAATTTCGGCAGTTAAATACAACAATCAGAGGGCATGCTTATGCATACCAAGTGTGATCCATGAGGTTGAGTGCGAGTATACGTATACCTGGTCTGTATGAGTTTCAATATCTTCCTCTTCGGTCTCTCTATCTTGTCCTGAGCTTTCCCTGAGAGCAGCACTTTTGATCGGACAAAGTATTTATCATATTATTACACACATGCTTGAGGGGGCTCCCGAAAACATGTTGGAAATACATGATACCTATGGACGATGGTGCTACAATTTCCATAGCACATTTTCCCTTAATAGATATGCCTGGGTTTCTGCAGGTTTCTCTGAACAGAGAAGGAACCCGCAAAGAATTGGTAATCCATCAGAGATGGGAGGAGGTTAGCAAAATAGCATCTGGGTCAGGTTCAAGGGATGCTTCCAGTTCAAAAATAAGTGGGATAAGGGTACAGGGAGGGGATAAATCAAGACCTGGGAAAGCAGCAGTAATGTGGATCAGTATTGTACAGCGGCCGTCCATGGCGGATGAGCTCTTCCTCGTGCTGGCAGTTGCTCCCCCAACTCTAATGTTGGCACCATTGCTTCAATTTCAACATTAGTATGTTGCTGCTCAGGGCTTATTGCAGTGGGCAAGGAGGTATCAACTGTGCGACTGATCTACTTTACTCTCTAGCGGGGTCTCTCCACTCATCCAGATATCTTCAGTATGCTTTATTCAATGATGGTAGAAGTGTGCTAGACATATCTGAATTTGCCACAAGCCCAGAACCTGTCACTAGATCCATCTCCTGATACTAGGGACACCCGTCTGGAATATACTCTTATGCATAGGGGAGTCCATGCGCAGTCTGTCCTCTCGGAGTGCATGAGATCGTTTGCGTTCAAGATATTGCTAGAGTCTGATAGCTACGAAGGAGATCTTCCGGGGTATACACCACTTGCGTCAGCGGCTCATTATTGTCATCAGGAAGTGAGGAAAATGTCATGCGGGCTAGAAGAGGTCCACCCCAACAAGGCGCATAAATGCAGCCAAACACTACTCTCACATGCTGGTACCTATAGACCTGAGGGAGTAGTGAAAACACTAGTTGGGTGGGAAGCCACCAACACCAGCAAGCCAGATAATGTCAGCCAAAAATGCCGGGGGTAATTGTCCTGGAATATCACCTCGCCGTACAACCTCCGGGCCGCTGGGGAACTGTTTTCTAGCTTCTGGCTGTTTCTCACATAGCAATTGCTGCAAAACAAAATGAAAAAAAAAATCTCATTTCTGAAAAGCGCCTAAAGACTGGGAACAGGATAATGTCATTTGAATGCATGAAAAGGGTAAAGGAGAGATGGGCTATGCATTCCAACTAGACCTACAGGAAAGCTATATCTAAGGTGCAAACAACCCATGAAGCAATCCGGGTAATCAAGAGTAACCTTAGCACGGTAGGAGATGAGCAACGGAGAAATCAGGTAAAAAGAAGTGCAGTAGAATTATGATCCCGTCCCGGGACACGCAGAAGGACAGGAAATGAGGGAAGACAGAGAGGGAAACAAACATCCAAACTTTGATTGTAAGGAATGAAGAAGCGGAAATCTTCTCTGAAACAAGGGTCTAGGATGCGGCAAAACAAATTATGGGCTTAAACAACCTCGGCCAGGTCCTTCCCTCCATTGCTTAAGGCAACATTAAGACATTCAACAAGGATGGAATAATCCGCCATCCATCGTTCCCCTTCTGCACCCATACTTTCAAACAGTAACTCAATCTTCTGACTCACCGTGAATTCTCCATCGAAAGAGATCATTCTCCAACTATCACCCATCGTGACGAAGCCATAAACTGTACCTCTGCCATTATAATCCCGCATGTCCTTCAGCGAGAGAAAGCACTGCTTGAGTGCTTCCCCAAGAGAGGCCTTCTTTGCTTCAACAACCAAAACATATCCCTCTTGGTTATGAGATATGTAGTCCATCACCACAAATTCCTCCATACCACCAGTAGCGGAATCAACCGCGGTGATTACCTTCTCTCGTGCTAAGCGTAGCTTCTGCTTGGTCACGTGGTTGAACTGACCAATAATGGGACAGATTGTAAAGGCCACAATGTCGTTTATGTGACCCTCTCTGAAGTCAGCACTGGCCTCTGTTGGGTATCCTCCAACTTGTATGTAATTTGCCAAGTCTTGGTAGATTTTCCTCTTCAACTTCAATATCATGTCCGGTACTAATAAAGCACGCTTCCCTTCAAGCATCCGCCGGACTGGAACTGGGTCTAAGTCCAATCTAATACCCAACCGGTCCTGGGCTTCGTGGATCGTCATTTTTGAATATGCAGTAACCCACTTCAGGTTTCTGCGGTTTTTACCGGTTTGCTTGTCCGCCTTAGTATTAGGAACTTCTACCCAGCCATTAGTAACTTATGAGTATTGATGTAATAATAAACTTGCAGATTCTATTCAACTTACCTTTCCAGTTGTCCTTCTGAATTCCCACTCCGGAATCTTTAGTAGGGGGCTCGGGCTTCGATGTTTTCCTATCAGCATTGTGGTGGCCCATTGTCCACAAGGCCCCTGCCCACCGATCGGTGGCCCATTAGTATGTGTGCTGATAACTAAATGTATAGACATCCTGCAACTTACTGGTAAATTGTTTGGGTTGTTTGTTGTGATAGCGTTTGTGAATATACCCCGGCATGGTAGAGGAGCTGATTGAGTTCTGGGGGAGGAAAGAGATTGATGTGCATGCACACTAGTTTTTACATTAATTTTAATCGGCTACAGGCAGGACGAGAGGAGAGGTGAGTCGGGGGGGGGGGAATACCTCATTCGCCTCTTGGGCAATTCTGTGGGATTCTCCAAAAGCAAGTGCACGGGAGTATGTATGAGTGCCACTGTGAAGTCCACGTTCTCCACTGCTGCCAGTGATGAGCAGGTTGATCCGGACTATTTGTTTGTGGTGAGTATTGCAGGCTCCATTATCCTGTGGTCCATAAACTTTACAGCCGGAGCTACTCGTTAAGCCATCATGGTACTTGCGGAGGTCGACAGGAATGTTGCCCACAGACTGTGCACCATGGGTGCTGAAGAAGACTGCGTTCTTTTGACCTAGTCTCTCTGTCTCCTCCTTTGGCTGCATGACCACAATCTCGTTGTTGGCCATTACAATTGGGATTGGTATTGTATCCGTGGGGGTCACCTTCTGCGAATGTTTCCGCTTGATCAAGCTGTCGGTCTTGTTGGGCAGACACCCGTGGTGATGCTCTTCATCCTGCAAATGGATGCTCAAATCCAACACAGGCATGTGCTTTATCTGTGAGGTGATAATATGCTTGTTAGGCTTGTAAATAATTACCACACACTTGATGAAAAAATTGTTTGACTCTGTGGCTTCAGGGGTGATTACCATCTCCTGCGGAAGGGCTCCAATGAGGTTTACACACTGCCGATACGCAACACCAACCGCCTCCGCTGCTCCCCAGCCACAGGGGAGCACACATAAATAGGGACTTCTGTATAGACCTAGACAAACCGACAATACACCACCGAGAACACGAGGAACCGTAGAGGCTGTAGCTTGCATGTCATGGTAGATTGGTTGCGACCCCTGGCCCATTATTGTGGTTTGCGTGAGAGTACCTATTCATCAAGACCATTAGTTCTTCAATTGCTGCGTGAGAAGGGAAAACAGAAGGGAAAGGATGACATACTGGTAGAAGGGAGCACCATCACGTCTGCCATTAGACCATTCCCAACACTAACCTCTGCGGGCTTAGGCCCAGTCGTATTAACGAAATTACCCGCACCCATTCGCCGATTGTTACAATCCATCCCCACAGCAGCCTGCCTATCCTTTCCACTTGCAGATAGGAATCTGTGGTATAGCTGAACGGTCAATCCTCTCCGTAGGATTGCAGCAGGGCCGAGTGAAGCACTAGAAAAGCTCGCAACACATCGAGCAACATTGGTGGGCATTGCCATAGTGCAAGAGATAAAAGTTTGTGAAACTTCGTGCAGGAATGTGGGTAGCAGGTGGTGGAGGTAGAAAGGTAAATGCTTGAGAAAAGTGAAAAATTGCAGGTGGGAGGATGTTTGGAGCTCAGGAGGGGGTGGGGGGCAAAAAGAATTTATTCCGGATGGGTTGGATGGGTGGGGGGCTCGTAGTAATGTTATCCGAATGAAATGAGAAGGCCCTGGCAACGACCTTTTTTCTGAGACGGAGTGGGAAATATGTTTTCGTACAAGACAGGGATTATTTTCTGGGTTAATCTAAATTAACTCTGCGAAAACATGTTCCCTGGTACCTGTATGATACCTGGATGGTAGAGAACAGTCACAATAGAAATCTCACCGCAGTTGTTTACAAGTGAGCGCAAACAGATATATGATAGTAGGTTATGCATAGGAGTAAGGCTTGGCGTGGCACCCAGTTTCGTAGTGAAGTTGTATTCTACACCATGTTACGAGTGACAAACATTCTCTATCTGTGAGGGCTGAGCTGCACACCCCCCTTCCAGGACTGCTGCTGTACATTTTCTCCCCCCCCGGAAACCCAGTATGTTCCCCCAGAGCCGAAAGGCGGTCAGGTAAGTTAGAACCCAACAGAAAGTATAGACGAGATCTGAACCTTGGTATTAGTGGCACTAGAGCAGGTTGAGCAAAATTACATAGAACCATTCCTACTGCCTAGAATAACATTGAGGCCCGGAAAAGAGTTTGGAAGCGGACGGATAGTCCTCCATTCATCAGTCATTCAGCAATCGATTCATATGCCTTATGGGAGCGCACAGTATATATTACCAGCACCAGCCCTTCCTCGCGTTTTCAAACTATATTCATCAAGATCATAAAACATGACTTGATAAACACTTATGGTCAAAGCCAAATATCGCATAGATCCTGAGCCGGCTCAGGCCGGGTGGACGAAAATGGGCTCCTGTCGACCAAGCCCCGGAATATATAGAAAACCTGTCAAATTTAATAATAATTATTATAGAATACTCCAAAGGAGAGAACTACCAGAACATTGCCAAAGTCACCATCGACAGCGGTCCCCACCATCGACAGCACTCCCCCGCGCCCTCCCCGGGAGTAGTAGTAGCACCAACATACCGGCATACACCCCCCAGTTCTCACAACTGCTGGGCAGCTGATGGAAGAGGGTAGTGGATTCGGGAATGGTGAGGTAGTGGTACCTTTTCACCAAGAATCACTCGACCTGTTCGAATAACATCACCAATAGTTGCTGCGGATAACGCTTTTGGGAGCCTGGGTAAATAATTTACCAAAGGTGAGAAGCCCCATATATACACCCAACCAACTGGCGGCCCACGCTCGAGATATGAAGATATGGTTACATTGCGAGTGCAAAACTGCTACTGCACTCCCCCATATCTCTTCGGCTCCTACACCTTTTTCCGTGTTTACACCCACGGCTGCAGCATTCCCGTCCTCCCTCTACACATCCTAATCGCCTCTTCGAGCATCTCCCCGGTCCCCCTCCCCGTCACTGCCCTCTCCTGCAGCCCCCTTTCCTTCTTCTCCTTGTACGCGCTAAGTATTTCCAGATTCCTCTCGCTAGCATCCTGCTTCCTCTAAAGCCTTGCAGCCTTCTTCGCCTCTAGGGAGGTGATCGTCTTACCCTTGGTAATAACACTTACCCCATCGTTGTGGGGGTCATTGATGGCGACAAACTTTGACATAGTCTTCCTGCTGCTGACATTAATGTTTATGTTTCGGCTTGTGCGAGGTTTCGCTCCCAGCGCCCAGAGATTACCCCACCCACTACTCCTCTCGTCTCTGCACTTCAATTTCCCCTGACTCTCGGAGACAACCCAGTGCTCAATGGAGCCCGTTGGAGTGCATAAGTGGAGTATAATGCGCCAGTCGCATTTGATATATGAGAGTATGATGCGTGGGAGGGTCAAACTGAAATTGCCGAGATGTTACATGGTGAATCGGCTCTGAATTGCTGTATCGGGTTGGCTGTTGAAGGGGGTTATGCCAAAGTTGTCTATTTTTAGGTTAATCTTGTTCTTCATGTCCGCGCGATGGTCCATGCCAGCAGAATAGAAGGCGACATATGAGTGCTCAAGATCTTCATCGGGGCTGCTTTTGTTTTTGGATACCTCATCTATGAGTCTCTGCAGATAGCCGGGGTGCGCATAGCACTGCGCGAAGCGGCACTACTCCTTGTGCTTGGTGCCTTCTGTGGGGCCAGAGGTGAACATGGGGTATTGTTCTTGACTCGTGCAAGGGAGGGCGATTACAGCGCCGGGCGACATAGATAGGTTAGCGAAGCCACAGGTATTCTTGCTCGGGGGGGGGGATTGAAAAGGCTCACCAATGTCCTTGATGCAGTCCTCTAGGGTGGTGGAGCATGTTGAACATTCGTCATTTTAGACTGCTAACCACATATAAGGTTTTTGATTCCCGGAGGATGAGAAACACACCTCGGACCATTTCATAACACCCATTGTTTTAGGGACGTTCGACACCGCTAGCTTTATACGAACTCTCATACCAAACCTGCATACCTAATGCGACAGTATCGGATAACAATCTACCTGTAATAAAACACCAATACTGATAGCGGTCAATATCATACCCTCGGCAATGGACTACACCCGAGGCTGGCCGCACAACTCTACCCTCGACCATCATGCTTATACCTCCAGAGTGCCACCACAGGGCCAGGAGAGGAACGACTAAGTACGCGAGAGTAGGAGAGGGATCTCGCATGCCCCGGAAGTATGCTCAGGAAGAAGGTTTTCTTTTGAGAAGGATATAAGACGGGCTGATTTCTCTGTTATTTGTTTTATCATAGCATTCACTGTCTATCCACTTCGTCCTCTATTATTTTGTCAAAGTCTTTCGTTACCGTATACGATCCTATTGTTCTTTCTTGGTCTTTGGTTTCCTTTGCTCTATCATTATTGTTCGTACCAATAAAAGTTCTGCGTGGTCCGGCAAACCTGGAAGTTGTATCCGCTGTACAAAACACCCCAGTGTTTAAAAGAGCGGGCGTAGGCGACAGCCTTGAAGTCCATTGGGATGCCTGTTTCGATGATTCAAAGGACGCTGCCGTTCGGATCGAGGCTCGACCTGAGTTGTTTAATTGTTTGACGGTGGAAAAACGACTTCCCTCTTGCGAGGATTGTGTTTGTAGCAATGATCAGGTCGTAGGGTTCTCTTGGCTAAGTCTTATTCTTCTCCACAGGGCCCGGCGTGTAGTGTAGGTTTTCGAAATGGATATCAGGCACTCGAGGAATAAACCAAGTATCGTCCAAGACCCTCGACAACCACTACCAGCAATCCACTCCTCTCCCTCACCACCAGTAGAGCCTCCCTACCCGGGCTAGCTACCGGCTTCCCGGTTCTTCAACCATACACTGCCAAGCAAGTACCCGAGCGCCTCTACCCCACACATCGCGCACATTCTTGACGCCCTGCTCCCCCCCTCCCAGCCGAGCACCCAATCGCCGCCCAACCATTTCGGCAGCTCGGTCAACGAACTCCAGCACTGCGTGTACAGCCCCCGCATCACCGCAGTGAAAAAACCCGTCATCATCGATACCCGACATTGGAATGTTAGTCGGGTTCAAGGGAATAGTCAGCTAGTGCTTATTCTGCTTCCTTGGGTGGATGGGCGAGAATTAGAAGTGTGGACCACCGAGAGCCCTATGTGTCGAGTTCACTATATGTGAGGTGGGGGCCTCCGCCATCAGAGACTCTGTCCGGTCCCCCACCGACGGCAGAACTGGGGTGCGAGACACCACAGACTGACGGACTTCAATGAGAGGGGTGTGTCCGAAGGGGACGAGGAGAACCGCCGGTATGGAAGTCTTTATATTTTCTTCTTCTTCCACCCTTGCTCCTTCAGGATGCGCAGTCTTCTGGGCACCTCGGACGTATACCCAAAGATAACCTGTGAATCTAGCTTCACCAAGAGGTTGGGTATCAAGTTCGTGAAGTTCGCGTAGTCTATTTCGCTGTGCCCGCAAGCTAAAACCCTAGGTGAATCCTTTGTGGTCCCCTGTTGGTCTGCCATCACCCCCAGATATTGGTATTCAGACTATCCAAGTTGTCTTAGGCATGTTTATATTATGTTATAGTACGACATCCCCAAGAGCTTATGCATCCAAGGGGGTAGTTTATCCCACCTAGGAAGTCAAGCATGTCACTTCTATCACTTGTTCCTGTGAACTTTTGACTCCCGTTTGGCAGCAACTCAGAACACTCACGCAAAATCAAACATCGAGTGATTTATGGTGAAAATGATTTCTCAAACTTAGGTGCTGGGTATATCATGAATTATGAGATGAAAGATCAATCGCAATCCTTAGCCTTTCTACAAGTACCCAAGCTACTCCGCCTGGGATGCCCTACTACTGAAATCAAAAGAAAGCAATTCTCAGAAATCGTCATCCTTAGTTTGTTCTTGGAGGCCGGACAGGCAGTGGGGGAAGCTCGTTGGACAGGTATCACATGCTCTAATGCACTATATTCACTCGAAAAAGCCATGATTCTATCCCTGACACTCCAAGTTGTTTGTCCATTTACTACGATGTTTCCTCGACCCAAACTTCTCTTACCTCTGTAAAAACTGTACTCTGCAAGCGAGAAAAAACAATTACATCTTCACCATGCCCACTGGCCACTGTGAGCAAAGCATGAGCGTCTTTTCATTTCTCTTTTCGTCATCCTGGCCTTGTGCTGATATAAATGTTGCCATTGTAACAATATAAATTCTGGACCTGACTTGCCCTGATCGGACACTGCGGTAATGATAGTAAGTAGTAAAAATCTTTATTTTTTAATATTCGGGTCTGTGACACCTCCTTAGATTTTGTGTACCCTACCTTCACACCGTAAGACTTAGAATTACGAGTAGAGTAATACGAATAGAGCAGACTTTCAACAACAGACCAGCCATCTAACAGGCTACTTGGGTGGAAAATTTACTATACCTTCCTGCTCAGGAAGCTTAAATACAACAATCAGATCGTGTGATTACGCATAACAAGTGTGATCAATGGAGTCAGTACGAGTATACGGATATCCAGTCTGTACGAGTTTTAATATCTTCCTTTTTGGTCTATCTATGTTGTTCCGAGCTGTCCCTGAGAGCAGCACTTTAGATCCTACAAAGTATTTATAATATTATTATAGACATGCTTCAGGGGGCTCCCGAAAATATGTTGGAAATATATGATACATAGAGACGATAGTGCTAGAATTTCCATGGCACATTTTCCCTTAATAGATATGCCTAAGTTTCCGTAGGTTTCTCTAAACACAGAAGGAACCCCCAAAGAATCGGGAATCCATCGGAGACGGGAGGAGGTTAGCAAAATAGCATCCGGGTCAGGTTTAGGGGATGCTTACCGTTGAAATGAGTGGGATAAAGGCGCAGGGAGGGCAAATCGAGACCTGGGATTGCAGCACTAATGTGGATCAGTATTGTGCAGCGGCCGCCCATGGCGGATGAGCTCTTCCCCATGCTGGCAGTTGCTCCCCCAACTCCAATGCATAGCCCATCTCTCCTTTATCCTTTTCATGCATTCAAATCACATCATTCTGCTCCCAGTCTTTAGGCACTTTTCAGAAATGGGGGTTTTTTTTTCTTCTTTTTTAGCAGCAATAGCTGTGTGAGAAACAGCCAGAAGATAGAAAACACTTCCCCGCGGTGCAGGTGTGGTTCAGCAATGTGATATTTCAGGACAATTACATGCGTTATTTTTGGCTGGCATTATCTGGCTTGCTGGTCTTGACGTCTTTCCACCCAACTAGCATTTTCACAGCTCCCTTAGGTCTATGGGCCCCAGCATGCGAGAGCAGTGTTTGGCCGGGGTCAACTGCTTCTACACCGCGCAGCATTTTCCTCACTCCCTCATGTCCATTATGGGCAGCTGAGGCAAGTGGGGTATACCCCCAAAAATTTCCTTCGCAGCTATCAGACTCTAGCAATAGCTTCAGCGCAAACGATCCCGTGCACTCCGAGAGGTCCGGCTGCGCATTGACTCCCCTGTCCATAAGAGAATATTCTAGACGGGGCGTTCCTAGTATCAGGAGATGGATCTGCTGAAAGGGCCTGGACTTGCCGAGAATTCAGATAGGTCTAGTAGACTTCTACTATTATTGAATGAGGCCTACTGAAGATATCTAGATGAGTGGAAAGATACTCTTAGAGAGTAAAGTGGATCAGCCGCACAGTTGGTGCCTCCTCGTCCACTGAAATAAGGCCTTGACAGCAACCTACCAGTGTTGAAATTGAAGGAATGGTGCCAGCATTGGAGTTGGGGGAGCAACTGCCAGCGCGTGGCAGAGCTCATCCGCCATGAGCGGTGGCTGCAATACTGATCCATATTAGTGCTACTATCCCAGATCTCGATTTATCCCCTCCCTGCGCCTTTATCCGTCATATTTTGAACCATACGCATCCCTCAAACCTGACCCCTATGTTATTTTGCTAAGCTCCTGCCGTCTCCAATGGATTCCCGATTCTTCCAAGATAGCTTCGGTGTTTAGAGAAACTTGTAGAAACCTAGGCATATCTATTAAGGGAAAATGTGCCATGGAAATTCCAGTACTATCGTCCCTATGTATCAAACATTTACAATATGTTTTCTGGAGCCTCCCCCAGCATGTCTGTAATGTGATAAATACTTTTTAGGACCTAAAGGTGACCCATGTTTAGCTTGTTATGATTGTTACCACCAAAGCTATTACAATCCCCCAAATTACCGCTGGGTTCCACGCTGATATCGGCTTGTATTATGACATGAATATCCTTGGGTGGGTCCTTCTTTTTTTCACTGGATCAAATTGACATTGAGGAGAAGGTGAAGGCACTTATACATCGTCTCTTCGGTTCGCCCTAGGGCTGATGTCGAAAGTCGGGTGTGAAGGTAGTAAGATGTCATTAG